GACCATTTTTCACGGTCGCGGCACACGCGCGAACGCACGCAATATCATAAAGACACGCGAGTAAACACCGATGGAACACTAGATCAATATGCAAAGCGGAATTGAAAAGGTACTCATACTCGTCGTCACTTCCACAACAGCGATACGAAACTTAAGAAGCAAAATCTAACTCACTTGTCGAGTGATATTCTTTTCCATAAAAAAATTTTGAAAAACGCTCTACGCTTTTTCTCACAGATCGTTAAACAGTTCTTCCCTGAATTCTTTTGTGTATTATTGGGAAAAAAACAAATTTAACCGACATTTTTACGGAAAATTATCTTTATCTTATATATACATAAACAGCCATTATAAAATAAAGCGAAAGTAATGTAATCCAAGTATTCTTCTTTAGACAAATAACTCTGAATTTTTTCGAGATTGCTGTTTCTAGCATATTTGGTACAATCCGGCGCTTTAGAGTTTTACCGGAGATTTACCGGATATTTATCCGAGCAAGTTCTCTGATAAATTAAACTTCCTTAATGATTTAATAGATTTTCTCTCGGAAAAATTTTAATTTTAAGTTTTCTAATTTTAAACAATAAAACATTTTAAGAATCTCAAGTTGTCTTTTCATTAAAATAAAATTTGCTTAATTGACATAAAAGATATTTGGTAATTGTATAAATGGGGGGGATCACCTTGGATGACCTTGATATTTTAGTATGTTGTCAAGGTCACCCTCCTGAGTGACCTTCAGAAGGTTTCAGCCCACGCTCGTTATTCGTTAAAAAGTTATTAACAAAAAAAGTTTGGAAAATATAGCACAGCTATTTTGAATATTAGAAGGCATAAATGACTAATATTACGTCTTTTTTTTAAGTAGAGAATATCTCGTTTTGCATAAAAGTTGCTGCTTTACCAAAACACAACATTTAAAGCAGTAAATTGTTGATAAATTGAGGTCTTTTTGTTAAAGCAGAGAATACTTTATTTCGCGAGAAAGTCGCTGCTTTACCAAAACCTAAAAGTATTTAACTGTTTAAAGCGCGTCATTAACCTATATAGGTTAGATGACGCGCTTTAAACAGTTAAATACTTTTAAAGCGCGTCATATAACCTATGTAGGTTAGTGACACGCTTTAGGGCCGGTTGTTCCAACCTGTTGGTAAGCTAACTAATAGTTAGATCGTCTCTGTTTATCCTTTACATTAGACAAAGATAGGCATTGATTTAAATATTGGTTAGCTTACCAACAGGTTGGAACAACCAGCCCTTAAACAGTAAAATACTTTTAAAGCGCGTCACTAACCTACCTAGGTTAGATGACGCGCTTTAAAAGTATTTAACTGTTGTGCTTTTTTTTCCTACATTATCCTACATTAACTGTTCAAAACAAACAGTGACCTTGTTTTGAATAGCACGCGTTCCAAGCATGTATATATATATATACCTAGCAAACACAATGCAACATGTAACGTACAGGTTAGTTGTAATTTCCTACTCAACAATATAAATGCAATATAACACACATAAATGCAATATAACACGTGTGTTATATAGCATTTATATTGTTGAGTAGGAAATTACAACTAACCTGTACGTTACATGTTGCATTGTGTTTGCTGGGTAAACAAGCTTGTAAAGCACGCCACGTACCCATTACATGTGGCACCTCGTTTCGCGTAGAAAGTGTATGCGTGAACTATTTTGACATATATTAGTCATTTATATGCCTTCCAATATTCAAAATAGCTGCTATATTTTCCAAACTTTTTTTGTTAATAACTTTTTAACGAATAACGAGCGCGAGCTGAAACCTTCTGAAGGTCACTCAGGAGGATGACCTTGACAACATACTATAAAATATCAAGGTCATCCAAGGTGGTCCCCCCATCTATACAATTACCAGATATTTTTATTTTCCTTCCTTATCCTCGTATTTTTTTTTACAAAAAAATTTTTAATAAAAAACCGGTAAATTTCTATATTATTCTTCACCTCCGATTTGCATCAAAATTTACATGGAGCTTCCATTCGGTTTAGAATTAGCAGTTATGGTATTTTAAAGCGCCAAAAACAATTTGTCATCTTTGGGGAAAATCGTGAAGTTGTCGCTTTAAGCGTTTTTCATTTAAGAACATTGGTCGCGTTCAGCAGACCAAGCCACTCAGTAGCAGTCGAACACGTG